CGATACTTTAATAATTCGCGTAACACTGCGGTTGTGATTGCAACTCGAATAAGCCCTGCATATCTGTGTTCGTATGGAATAGTAGCTTATGTTGAAAACTGGCTTTAGTATAATGCGGCATTCGCAGCATACGATTGCGAATGACTGACTGGCGCTGAGCCGTTGTAGAACTTTTGGCAAATAAACGTGCAAGAAATAGTTCCGATATTAGCAAGTCAATATTCTTATTAAGTCTTATCAAAAAATTCCTTGTCGTTTAAAGAATAAAGGGAATGCCGCATTATACTAAAGCCAGCTTCCCGACATAAGCTACTATTCCATACGAACACAGATATGTTTGAATGGTTCTACTTATATTTGTATGTATTTCGTCTTTCATAGTATAGCTTCATATTCATAGTACAGCTCGGGTCGGGTTTACGTAACCGGAACGACCCAGATTTATGTTTGGCCAAGGACTGTCACCAAAAACTATTTGGGGAACTTGTATGCTGCTACAACCAGGGTGTGGATTTGCCTCATTTTAGCTCCTCGCTCGCTCGTTAGTTTGCTCTGAGCTTGCGCAACTCACGAGCAACAGGCGAGGCTGTTTGCAAAATCACCCTGAAATTGTAAATATGGAAACTATGCATACGAAATAATGCATATGATGCTTTCCATTTCCAGACAACCGGTCAGGTACGAGCATGATTTTTAATTTCGACCAAACTCAAATACATTGTTTGTTGGTCCAAATAATGAGACACGTATTTTTTCTTTTGGCTCGGAAAAATTTTTCGGCCGAATTAAACGCGATTTTGTTTTTCAGGCAAAAATCGATTATTCGAATTGACAGTGAGAATGTTTTTTTAAAATGCCCATAACTTTGTCAAAATTTAATAGATTCCAACAATGCTTTTACTCAAATGTCAGTGATTCTTGTCACTTCAAGATAAAATGATATAATTATTGATTTTCATTATTTAAAATTTTTTATTTAACAATAAACAAAAAGTGCATATTTTTTTTTAAATTTAATTTATCAAAAAGTATTTTTTTTTCTCAAACTTTTTTACCGAGAAAGAGACACTTTGAACTACAATCAACCTAAATCTCTAATAGCGAAGATTTTTTTTTTCTGAGTTATGATTTTTTAAAGAAAATATACGTTTTTGTGGTACATACTACAATATTCTTAAATTTTTTCCACCATACAGTTTCGATTATAAAAAGCGGGAAAATGAGATTTTGTATTTCGAAACTGTATGGTGGAAAGTGTGTTCTAATATCTATTTGATACACAAAAAATGATCACGGCTGTACTTTTTGCTGATATATTACATACATATATTCCATTTAATTAAACAATATTTCAAGAACATGGAAATCCAGCATAACTTTAAAACTTTTCAGGTGTATTTATTAGAAAGTATGCTGGATCTGGCAAAGAATTCTATAGAGCGGGGGCAAAGTGGTTCCAAACCTAAAAGGAACGTACATATTTTAAACAAGATAAAAAATATTTGTTTGATTTATTTCAGGATTTTTCCGTTTTTTGAAATAATTTTTTTATTTAGCGTCTTTCAATAAAAATAAATGATAAACAAATTTAATACTTATTAATTATAAACAAAATTAAGAACATTTTAAAAAACCGTTAAGCCTCCTTTCCGGTCTATTATCAGAGCACACCGAAAACACTCCTATCTATCACTCCTGGCTATCATCGGAGGATTTAAGGAGTCCTTCTCACAAAATCATAGGTGAATAGGAGTCTTTGCTTCTTGGGGCACCG